GTATAATCAAAAAGAAAAACGCCAGAACTAATTATTCTGGCGTTTTTACATGTAAAATCGAAAAAAAAATGCCGAAACTATCTGTTTCAGCGTTTTTACATGTAAAATCAAAAAGAAAAATGCCAGAACAAATTATTCCGGCGCTTTTACATGTAAAATCAAAAAAAAACGCTAAAACTATCTGTTTCGGCGTTTTTACATGCGAAATCAAAAAGAAAAATGCCAGAACTAATTATTCCAGCGTTTTTACATGTAAAATCGAAAAAAAATGCCGAAACTATCAGTTTTGGCATTTTTACATGTAAAATCAAAAAGAAAAATGCCGGAACTAATTATTCCAGCATTTTTTACATGTAAAATCAAAAAAAAATGCCGAAACTATCAGTTTCGGCGTTTTTACATGTAAAATCAAAAAGAAAAATGCTGGAACTAATTATTCCGGCGTTTTTACATGTAAAATCGAAAAAAAACGCCGAAACTATCAGTTTCAGCGTTTTTACATGTAAAATCAAAGGAAAAACGCTGGAACTAATGATTCCGGCGTTTTTACATGTAAAATCGAAAAAAAATGCCGAAACTATCAGTTTCAGCATTTTTACATGTAAAATCAAAAGGAAAAACGCCGAAACAAATAGTTTCGGCATTTTATATATAAAAACAAAAAGTAAAAAATGTTACAAAATGTTTTTTTACAATATTTAATAATAAAACTTCAGGTAACCCGAGTTACCCAAAGTGACCCGAATACTTTCAGGTCAAATGGGTCGGGTCGGGTCAGAACGGTTTACCCGACCCGACCTGACCTGAAAAAAAATTTCAGTTCGGGTTAACCAGGTAACCCGACCCGACCCGACCCGTGCGGAGCTCTAATCGTAACCATGTCATAGTGATATTGTATTAACATTGAATTAATATTACAAAATATTTGACATTTTATTTGATATTGTAACCACATCATAGTGATATCATATTAACATCGAATTAATATTGCAAAGATATTTGACATTTTATTTGATATCGTAACCACATCGTAGTGATGTCATATTAACATTGAATTAATATTACAAAATATTTGACATTTTATTTGATATC